GGTTTGGAAAACCTCCTAGGAAAGGAAGGGCTAGCTTAGCAGAGGTTTCTCTTACCCCAGCAAGTCATTCCCTGCTGAGCAGCTTCCCAATAGCCTCTAAAGCTTCTGTGCTGCCATTTCCCCTTGCTTCCTTGGGAAGGGACCCTGGAGAGGAGGCATGGTCCCAACTTCTCCTCAGTGGCATTTTGCAGAGCAGAATGGACAGTCCTCCAGCCCCGAAGCAGAGCCCTTGGAGCTGTTTCCAGAGGACCCCATCTCTTTGTGGCAGCAGATGTGGGATTGATTGAAGAAGTCCATTTGCTTGGTGGTGTTAGCCATGGAAAACTCGGTGGAAATGTTCTGATACACTTTTTAATTCCAAATATGTGGTAGGATTTATGCAATTTATGCTATCTAATGCAGGAACCATAGGAGGGTCTCAGAGCGAAGTGATCCCAGGCTCTGGTAGGTCCGTGGTCATCCCTCAAGCCATGTTCTCATCAGGACTTTGACTGAGAGATGAAATATCTCATCAGTGCTGGACAGACCCGGGGCTGCCTTCAGCTTCTGCTGCATTATTCATGAGTGTGTGAAAGCTCTGGAGTTAGGCCCTCAGCACTGCCCAGGAGATGAAATGTGAGCATGTCCCTCTGAGACAGGAGTGCACACACTGGAAGCTGGGGGATAATGGCAAAGTGAAAATGACAAAGGGAAAGTGAAGCCTTTGGTGTTCTGCTGATGGTGGGTTTGTTTTCACTTTTCTCCCCAGAGCATCGCTGCCAGTGATCTGCAAGCGCTCACAGCCGTGGCAGCATGGCTCAAAGCAGTTTGAAAACATTTGAATTGCTTTTGCACGGGGTTTTGCAAGGCTGCTTGGGAGTGCAGAGGCTCAGGGGCCCTCCAGGCCCTCTGGAGAGGTCACACTGGCAGCACAGTCTCCTTTTTGAGTGAGCACTCAGCAAAGAGGTCAAGTGAAGATGCAGCTCACGTTCCCTTTTTCTGCCCTCGGCTCTGCCCCCTCTGCAGTGATGTCCAGAGACTCAGGGACTCCTAAATCCCTGAAGCATTTTGGCCTCGTCACTGAGGGTGGCTGTGGGATCCTGAGGCTGGGAGGAGGAGAAGGGAAAAGGCAGGGATGCTCAGAGGCCCCAGGGGTTGTGTGTCAGGGAGAAGACAGCATGGCAGGGCCCCAGTTTCTCATACATCCTGATGAAGCCCTGTACTTTCCTAGTGGGAAAGGGTTTGGTCCTGTTTTCTGGGAAATAACTGGGGGTTTTCCTCTTGGTTTCCACAAGAGCAGGTCCGGGAGTGAAGGTTTAATCAAGGGGACTGTTGTGCATGTGGGTGTTTTGTCCACCTGGGCTTATGTTGCTATAAAAATCAATAATTGCTTTGTATTGAAGGCATGTGAGGGTCCTGAGACTCGGGCCCAGCCTTCCCCACATCCCTGTGTACACAGCAGCTGATCTCTGCTTTTTAATTCTCCATTCACAAACAGATGCCTGGAGCAGCACTTTGGCAGGGGACAAAGCCCAGCTCTGCTGCTGTCCCAGCCCTGCATGTGCTGGGGAAATGCGATGCATCCAGCAGACAGCTCAGTCTGGCCATGCCTGAGCCCAGGAATCTGCTCTGGGTGCTTGTGTGGCTGTTTCCAGCCTGCCCTGAGGTGTCTGTGCCCCCAGAGCCCCTCTGTGCCCAGCTGGGATTGGGGTGCATCCTGCTCTGGAAATGTTTTTCTCTGTTTTGACGCTGCACTTCTCAAAATGGATTTCTGGGTCTCTTCTGAGCCGAGCTCCTTTGGGACACTCCTTCATGGGGAGCTGTGTTCATCTCAGTTCTCTGGGTCAGGAAGAAAACTCCAGAGCTCGTTAGGATCTTGTTTCTCCTGTTTATTAGGATGTTATTAAAGACTTGGCAGGCCTTCCCAGACTTTCTGCACAAGTTCAGTTCACCATAACCTGGCTCACTTCGGCGCTGAAGACACAAAATAGCCTCAAACCACGTGGCTGTTTCATCTTTATATCCATTTTTACCCAATTAACAATAGACAGGTGTATTGTTTTTATATATTAACAAAGAAGTTTTCTACATCTACTTACATAATTAAAACTGTGACTAACTTCCAACCAATCACTCTTTGTGCTCCTAAAAAACTGCAGAATCACAGAGAAGAAGGAAGAAGGAGAGCTAAAAACCACACCTTTTTTCCTCCATCTTTACTCCATGTGTTAAAAACTCTAAAATCTATATTTTTTACTTCAGTGACATACTAAACATTATACTACTTTCTACTTAATTTTTTACAAATCTTGGTTTACCCAGGGATATTTGGAAGCCTTTCTGTCAGTGGCAGACAAGATCAATACCTTTCTGGAGAACAGGACAAACAGGGAAATGTTTCTCCATTTCTGGATTCTTACAGATGTGGCTGCTGGGGGCTGTGGCACCTCTGCCAGCCCAGAGGCACAGTGCCTGCTGCAGATGTGAGGAAACATCTGTCTGGGCTCTGTGCTGTGTCCAG